ACACACACACACACACACACACACAGTGTGAGTCTGCAGCACGCAGGAGCTTTTATTAACAGTTTCTTTGAAGTAGTTTTATATGTTTATATGTTGTCATAGTCATTAAACATTTAAATCTTATCCTGCTGCAACATCAATTAGTTAATTTGATTTGTAAAACGATGATCCAGTTGTTTACACTCACTGTTCTGCAACAACAGAGACGTTAAACATCATCATGTAAATAAAACAACAACAGGACTCTGATAGACAGAAAATCATTTGATTAAATAAAAAATGTTTTAACAGGAAGGTGATTTAAATCAGATCAGGCTTTAAAGGAAACAGAAGGAAGAGAAACGGAACATTTTACAGGAAATTCAAAGAAAACTCTGAAAACTTCACCAGACAAGTTTCCGTTCTTTATTTCATCAGAACCTGCAGAACAGCTGGGTTCTGTTCATCAGCTGAAGAACCTGCAGAACAGCTGGGTTCTGTTCATCAGCTGAAGAACCTGCAGAACAGCTGGGTTCTGTTCATCAGCTGAAGAACCTGCAGAACAGCTGGGTTCTGTTCATCAGCTGAAGAACCTGCAGAACAGCTGGGTTCTGTTCATCAGCTGAAGAACCTGCAGAACAGCTGGGTTCTGTTCATCAGCTGAAGAACCTGCAGAACAGCTGGGTTCTGTTCATCAGCTGAAGAACCTGCAGAACAGCTGGGTTCTGTTCATCAGCTGAAGAACCTGCAGAACAGCTGGGTTCTGTTCANGCTCCTGGACACATGAACGTCTGACAGATCAATGTTTAGCATCATAAACCCATCAGCTGTGATGAGATGACTTCAGTTTCATGTTCTGAAGCTTCAGGTTAGACTTCAGATAACTGAAACACTTTGAAATGTCATGTTTGGTTGTTTTTGGTCAAATAAATGTCTTTTGTTCTAAAATGTAAATCAGATGTAAATGTTGTGATGATGTGAAGAACCTGCCTTCAGACTGACAACAGAACATGAGACAGACGGGATGGAGAAGGTTCTGCTGGTTCTGCTGGTTCTGCTGGTTCTGCACGCTGCGTCAGGTACAAATTATTTATATGTTATAGTTAGAGAGGACGTGTGTGTGTGGGGGGGGGCTCTCTCCTCTGTGATTTCACCACATCCTGTGAGTCGTCACATCAAACTGAGGATTAAATCAAATCTTTGACACATTTTCAGATTCCTGCTTGTTCAGCTCAGGGTTTGATCCCAGGATCATCCTGACATCAGGACCAGTTCCTGAGATTTGACTTGATTTGTCCTCCTGATCAGGAGAACCCATTAAGAGTTGATCTGAATCCTAGTTTTAGGTTTTTCTAATGGAAAATATTTGTCATTTTAAAGAGGAAACCTGAAATAGTTTGTGGAAATGAAGATTTCTCAGCTGGAAAGAAACAAAAGCTTTACTAACTTGCTGTGAAAATATCAAAAAATTAAGGTATTTTTGCTCTAAATCAATTTTTTTGTTGATAC